TTTATTTTTTTAAACATGTCTCCTAAAATTTATTCTTTATTTCATATGATCTACCTAATAATAATTTATTATTTTTTAAAATTTTTTATAATTAGTTATATATTTTTTAATAATTTTTTTTTATTTTATATTTTGTGTAAATTTTCTTGGTTCTTATTTTAGGATGAAAGAGGAATTGAGTGCAAAGAATAACACACAAATATTTTTAAAATATTATTACATTATGTACAATTAAAATATATTTATAATAACTAAAAATATATAAATTTATTTTTATATGTGTCGATATAAATATATTATTTTTATTTAATATTTTTCATTAATAAAATGCTAAATTTTCCCTTTTTTATTTAGTTTTTTTTTTCAAACATGTCTCTCAAAATTTATTTTTCATTTCATATGGCACCTCTATTAATGATATATTAATTTTAAACATTTTTTTAATTATATATATATATATATATATATATATATATAATATAGCTTTACAATTTTTTCTATATTTGTGGTAAAAATTCAGAGGTTAAGATTTTAAGTTAGAATTGGGTGCAAAGATAAATAAAAGATATTGTAAAAATAAATATATTTTTTCACATTTGTACAACTAAAATATACTTATAGTAGCTTATTATTTAAAATATTTTTTAATATTTAAGATTTTATAATAAATAAGTTATTATTATTCTTAAATACTTAAGTTAAAAAGATATATTAAAATTTCTTTTTAAACATACATTCAGATATTATTAGTTAAATTTTTTTACTTAAATATAAATTTATTCTTATATGTCACAATAAAAGGTTGTTAATTTTAATGTTATATAATCCATAAATAAAATGAAAAAAATTAGTTTTAACTTAGTTCTTCATTTTTAATTTTTTTTTCAAACATTTTTCATTTTTAATTTTTTTCAAACATGAATCATAAAATTTATTTTTGATTTTATATGACTTCTCTGTTAATAATATATTAAATTTAAATATATATTTTTTATAATTTTTACATATTTTTTAAATAATTTTGGACATTTTTATTTTTTAATATTTTAAATAACAATTGATGGTTAATATTTTTGGTTGAGAAATGAATTAGGTGAAAATATAAAAAAATTATTTTAAGAATAAATGTATATTTTACATTTTGTAAAATTTAAATATATTTATAATATCTTATTATTTTAAATATATTTTAATATTTAAGATTCTTTAATAAAAATTATTATATTTCTTAAACACTCAATTTAAAAAGATATGTTAAAATTTTAATTTTATATTTTTTAATAATAAAATGATATAATTTTGCTTTTAATTTAGTTCTTCATTTTTATTTCTTTAAATATTTTCTAAAATTAGTTTTTTATTTCATATAGCCTCTCTTTTTATAATGTATTAAATTTTAATAATTTCTATAAATATTTTAAGATTTTTTTATTATTATACTAGTTCTTTTTATATTTTGTGTAAAAATTTATAGTTAATATCTTTTTATAGAGAAAGGAACTTGTTGCAAAGGCAAATAAAACATATTTTAAAAATAAATGTATGTTTATACATTTTGTATAATTAAATTATATTTATACTATAAGATGAATGCTACGTTGAGAAAGTAAAGAAAGTGGCTGATAAATAAAGTATTTCAATCTCTTAAATATTTAAAATAGATTTTTTTAACATATTTTTTTAAGGTTAAGAAAGAACATAATTGTTTATTTACGTGAAACTGTATCATATTCTCTCAAACTCACTCTCATCTTTATTTTTAAAGACGTTTAATATTTTGTTTTGTGTTTCCTGTGTAAAGTTCAACCATAAAATTGAGTGGCTGTGATTGAAATTTACTTAATTGAAGTTTAAAAAGAGAAATTCAAGGCAAGAGATCTAATGAAGTCACATAATCCACTTTTCGAATATTGTTGTAGAAACTTTATTCAATCTCTCTTTCTTCTATTTCAACTCCTTATTATTTCTCCTCCTTAATAATATGCAAACCCATTTCTCACATCTACCATAAATCTTAAACCTACATAACTATTTTTTCTTTGCACTGTTATACTTTCAAATGTAAAGGTTTCCTATTTGAAAACATCATATATTCATCCCAATTATTTTAAAAATTATTATTTTAATTTGATCAGAATAGGAATAATGACTAAGGATATTTTGTTAACCTAGAAAAATGTATAGAATTTATTACGCTACAATTTTTGCTAAGTCAGAGTTATCTGCTTAAGCTAAATTTAGACAAGGAAGTATTTAAATTTTTTGCTTAATTCGCTTAAGCTAAATAAATTTAACATATATTCGCTTAAGCTATTATTATGTTGTATTTCGTGACTTATGCGAATTATGTTTCGCTTAAGCGAGTGAGTTATTTTTTTCGATCACTTTCGCTTAAGCGAAAAAACTCAGTTTAAGCAAATGTTGCAGAATTTGTGCAATGCAAAAATGACCATTATACAAAAAGAACATGAGAATGATCTAAAAGGGCATTGAATAATGTATTAATACAAAAACTTATTTTTATGATGAATTGAGACTCTAAGAATGGATGTAAAAGTTTTAATTCTAAAAATTATTAACTTCATAAATAGGATTTGTGAAGAAATCTAAAGATCTAACATAACATTCAACATTCTATTGATTTAAAAGTAATTTTTTATTATGTATTTAAATTGCATTTAAATGCACATCTTAATGCATACTTTCTTAAAATAATAAGGTTAGAAGATCCAAGATACATATAAGAGAAGAGAGAAAAATACAGAGTTTTGAAGACAAAAGATAGTAATAGGTTTTGAAACTACAAAAAAAAATATTTTGAAGGTTCAAAAAAAATTTTTATGAAGGACTAAATGATAAATATGTAAACTTATATTGTTAAATTATAGGTAAAAGATTTGAATCGTTTATAAAATTTAAAATACATCTAATAGTTTAAAAATAGTCACTCACTCATAAGTCACTTACCTTGTTAACTCATGCTAACCTCCATCAATAAAATTGACTTTAAAATAATAAAATTTATTTTTTAAAAATATTAATGTCAGCCTTTTTCTACTAATTTTGCTTTAAATGGTAAGTTTCTATTAAAAAATTATTTATTATAATTTTTAATGCAATAGTATTTTTAATTAAAAAATTATTTTAAGTACTTAAAATCAATCTTAAAACAGATGCTAATGCTATTAATTGATATTTTTGTTAAATAAATTGAATTTTCACTCCATAGTGTTATTTGTTTCTGGAGAAATAAAATATTCAAAAGATTCGTGCAAGAGGGTGATCATATTTTATGATATTTAATTCCTAGTTTTTCAGTAAAATGATTCAAGGAAATCTTACTAGCGTTTGTCATATACAGGTTTAAAAATCTTCGAACCATGGAAACTGAACTCTATATAAATTAGGGATATATTTAATTGTTCATAATTAGTTAATAAGGCCTATTAGCTCAATTGGTTAGAGTGTGCTGCTAATAACACCAAGGCCTGAATGGGCCACAATGTGTTATTTTTATATATAATCTACCTCAGTCTCTTCCTAAGAATGTTCTTGCATTGGTTTCATTTCATATGATGGAAAAAGAGGATAACTTCAACTGTTGAGGAGAGCAGCCATAAAACAAAATATACATCAGCCAAAGTAGCATTGTTTTGCAGTTTCTCACCCAAATTGATGAAGCTCTGTTGAGGGTAACCACTAACCAACCATGCAAAGTTACTGTAATGTTATGGGTATATAACATGTTCCAAGTATATTGATGACACATCAATATTATTGGGTTTATTAATATAAAATTGAGACGTACAATTGGAGGTACTTTAGACATTACTTGAATTTTTACTTGGTTGAATTAAATGGCGAATAATTTTGAATATGATAAGAAATATACAGAACAAGGTTTTACATTTAATGACTTTTTTCCCTTTTAAACTGTGAGGTCCAAGGCAGAAAATTGGATTATTGCCTTAGAAGTTACAAGGTAGGCAACTTTTCAGTAATTGCAGGAAAACAAATTCTGGGAAAAGAAGCAAGAAGAATATTGGAACTTGTAAGCATAAAATTTCTGAGTTTTGAGGACTATGCATCTCTTCTTAGACATGTCTTACCAATTTGGCATTTTCTTAGTGATAGCGAACTCATGCCATCTATTCCAAATGCAAGGTTTATATCAATTGCTATGGAGCATTTTTATAGATAGTCTTCAACAAATTTCAACACATGATGAATAAACCTGGTAAAATGTTCTAATACCAATTAACTTTGTGAGACCTAGTGAAATGCTCTAATACCAACATAATATTTTCTTTTTTTGGTAGTTTTCAATAAATTTCAGCAATAAAAAATTTGTTAGAGAATGAGTTGTTGTTATGTTTGGATTCCCAATTGAACGTGTTAATTTTGTCACAAGTAAATAACCATTTATGGCCTTGAACTTTCTCAAAAGATTCAAATTAGTCCTTTTTTTAAAAAAATAAAATAGGGTCCTCTCAGGTATTCAACAATATGATTGACTGTTTGATAGTTTGAGGACCTGAGTGGAGACTTTACATATAGGGACGGACTTATTTAAAGTTGATGGAAAAGTTCAAGAATCAAAATGACTATCATGGGTTGCAAAGTAGGTAGTTTAGACCTTCTAGGATGAAAAATAACAAACAGTTCTTTGTTCTAACACTATATTGTCCAGTGAGATAAAAACATACAAATCATTGATATTCTGTATAACTGAATTGAAAAAATGTGGATACTGCTTTAGGTTATATCAATGCCAAATAAATTAAACTTACTGTCAGATTGTAAAAATTGGTATAAGAGTTCAAACACGTGAAAGGACTGTTTATGTGTTTTATATATCAAGTGGAATCTGAAATCAGGTGCTGTAACTGACCAACAATAGTCCAAAGGAAATTGGAAATATTTAAGTCATGAGTTGAGCTTCAAACATTTGAATTAAAAATTGGCTATATAGTAAACCAATATGAGATGAATAAAATTACAGGGTAAAACTATAGTACAATTCTTAAACATATTATAGAATCTTTAAAGTTTAAAAAGTGAGATCCATATAGTTCAACAATTATGAGAAAAAATGACAAAAAACAACTCTGTAACAGAATTGAAGAAAATATAAATTAAAATTAATTATAGAAGCCTGAATATAGATATATGTAATCTGTATAAAGCTCACCAAACATAGAAATCTCCATTTCCTCCAACAACAGAGTGAGCAAGTAGAACTCTTCTTCATCCTTGCCTATCTATATACACTCTTGTCCTTGAAGAATAACCATTTTATGCAATGTAGCAACTCATTATACCTAACCTATTAAACTATATTGTACACATAATAGTAACATATGAAACAGATGACTAATACATAGCTATGAACATGTAGCTAGACCATCTTGTGGTAGCAAAGCCTCTTCTTGAACCACTGTGTCCTTAACTGCCTTGTAAAAAGCTATCCATGAAGAAGAGTAGGAATCAACATGACCCCACAAAAATGTGGGATTTGGACTTGCAGGGCATGCAGATGCAGTAACCAAATCTAAAACTGAAACTGCTTTGATATTCTGTGGAAAATTGAATGCCAAGTTATCAACTTTGTGTTCATAAATTTTGCCATTTCTATCCAATTTGTACCTCGAAGTGCCCTGAAATTCCCCTTTAGTCTCCCAAGGGACACGTGGCACACCCCTAAGGTTCCACCTAATCAATATGACATTCTCCGAAGGTTGCCACACCCTGTACACATCAAGTGCTATCTCACGAAACAAAATTTTTCCATGAAACCTAAGTGCCCAGAAGATCAATTTGTACTTTTCAATCCCAGTAAATTTGTTCAAGGGATCCATGAACGTTATGTCATCCCTGAAATGATCAAATTCCAATGAAAACTTTCTTAAAACTTTAAACATTTAAAAAAAATAAAAAGCGAAGGATAAAACTTGGATATAATTACTGATGCTACAAATTTTCAATTAAAATGGCATTTTATTCCACGTATCACAGCCAATTTTAGTTAAAGTAAAGAGAAAGTTTTGTTAGCTTACCCTTTAAGCATAATTTTTTATTTAAAAGAACACATATATCATGTTTAATTATAAAATAGTGATAAATGTTTCTTTTATATAATATTTTTACTTAAACTCAACATTTTCATACAATATAATAGTTATCAAGATAAAATGAGAATTTTAACCTAATATTTTGTTTGGATATAAAACAAAAAAAAAAAAGAAAAAAAATGCAGATAACAATTTATTTTCTTTTATTTAGTTGAAGAAAAAATAAAATAATTTTAAATTTTAAATTAAGGAAAATCTCTTTCTACTCTCTCTTCAATTCAATTTTTTTTTCTATTATACCCAACAGAGGATAGTAGCAGCATAGATATTGTATCAATTTTTTTGCACGGAAGTAAAAGCAACAGTACAAAGAAGAGAAAGATACCTATAAATGTCATAATCGAGGTCTTTGATGAAGATCAAAGGAAGGTCCTCACGAAGGGTCCTCACAGCAAGGCCAAGGTTGAGATAGAATTCATCTTTTGGCTGCTTTTCTTGTGGTGTGTTAACGTGTGCAACTTGTGCAGTGGAACTTTGGAGACAACAAGAAGAAGTGGAAGAAGATATTGGAAACTGAGAAGTGGGTTTTGGCGGTGAAAGAGCTTGATGAATGGGTTTCTCTTTGGGTTTGGATTGAGTTAAGAGAGAATGTTGGAGGTTGGGTAGAACAAAAGCCATGCCCTTTATTGCTTAATGGTTTACATCTAAATTAGCTTTTCATTACTCTCTATCGTGTGTGTGTGTGTGTGTTAGAGAGAGAGAGAGAGAGAGAGAGAGAGAGAGGATATTTGTGTCTGCTGCTTGTTCTGTTTTGTGTCCGTGACTCTCTGGTGCTGAAGCAAATTGAGGTTGTTGTTTAACTTTGTTTTGTTTTGTGTGTGAGTGGCTTCGAACGTTACCATGAAATTTTTTGTATGAAAGGACACAAACATTGCCATTTTTGCATTTTGCACCTTGCATTTTATAATATTTTCCTTCAAATTGGGAATAAATCTTTTCATGAAAAGCACAAAATTGAAGGGGGCAAATATTATACAAGAAATCCCCGTAAATTGAGAGTTAAAATTTTAAGAATGAATTTTCATATAAAAAGAACCAGATTGACTTCAGAATAATTAATATATTTTATATTTCTCCGATTTGACAGCATCTCGTTCTGTAAATTTCTGTTCATCACTTGTATCACTGAATTTTTGTTAGTTACCATCTGGCCTCCATATATTGATAACCCTTCATGGATGTCCTTGATTGGTGCTACATAATTATTGTCCAAAAATTACTTTAAATTTAACATAATAAAATTGGAATGTTATTATATATATATATATATATAGAAAATCATCTGCATGTAGGTATCAAACTAATCAAGGATAGTCAAGGAAAAAATCATACATATTAGTATGCATTGATGTATACATATTGGTGAAACTTTTTCGGAGTTATCTTACAAAGTTGTGATTATTTTTTTCCATTCTAGTAGATATCTTTCATACAAAATAATTTTATTCAAAATACAATTAAATACTAAATATTAATATGTTTTTCAGGGGAGAGTTGAGTCATGATTCATTACTTTGTGAAAGAATAATTTTTTTAGATAAATCCAATCTTCATTGATTACAAATTTATTATTGTAAATAAATATTAACTATTTTTGTAAAATAAATAAAACTATTAAGTTGTATACTTATCAGTCTAATAATTTATTATTAGTACGCATGCTTTACATACTAGTTTTTTTGTTATCTTTTAAGCCTTATTATATTTCTCAATACTAAACAATGAAATGAATAAAAATCAAATTTTATGATAAATAATCCAATGAATGTAAATGAATGTAGTTGAATTAAGACTTGCCTAATATCTCTATAACCCTAGACATTCAAAGTTTTGTATTTGTTTATTTAAAGGCTTAAATGTACTTAGTTTCCTACTTTCCTTACTTTAGTTTACGGGAAATTTTAATTATTTACATTTAATTCTTATAAACTTTCAACTATTTAAATTAAGTTTTTCATTTCATGATTTTATTCAATAAGTAATAGAAAATATAATAGATGTATGCCATTGATTTGTACAAATTTGAAAAAAATACTTGTATAAAAATAAAAAATATTTGACTTTGATTATACTTTACATATTTTATTTTATTTAAATATTTAACATTAATTTATTTAAATGAATAATAAGTTATGTTTTAGTGTACTTTTTAATTATTAAAAAAAATTTTGGACAAAAGACTTAAAATTAATCAATTAAAAAATCATAAAAACCATTACATATGAACAACTAAATTAAAAATTAAAGTATGAAATCTAAGCATATAATTAAACCTTTTTTAAATGTAAGCACATGCATCATATGTAGTTTAACATATAATAATAACACGTCGTACAAATTAATATGGTAGCAAGAAAAGTTAGGCAGCCAAATGAGCTAAACCTAACAAGACATCTCAAAATCTGCAAACGTGATTCACAAAGTTTGTGATTAATTTGACAAATACACGTTTAACAAACTACTTTCATATAGTGGACAATTATTTTATTAATACATTTTAAAAGAGGTTGATTAATACTACACGTGGTAAACGTATATGTGTTATTATTTATTAAACGTAAGTTTAGATAAAGAGAAGAAATAATAGATTTCTATGTCCGAATCATTTCCCCTAAAACTTAAATTATAGAAGATTTGTTTTTAATAAAGAATAAAAATGCAAAACAAAAAATCAAAAGAGAAAGACACAAACAGGTTGTTTCGAACTTCAACTATTAAACTATTAAGAGCATGTGTGTTTATATTTTTAAAAAGAATTTTTTCTTTTTAAAAATTAAAGATATACGTATTTTTAGTTTTTAAAAAGAGAAAACTCTTTTTAAAAATACAAACATACCTTAAAGACTCAGATTTTTATTGTCTCTCTAATAAACTGAAATAATTTTTTAAAAAATAATAAAATCATAACTCATTTCTATAATATCTCTTTAAATTCTTTCAAATATTCATATAACATTTTCAAACAGAATATTTATATTTTTACTTCAGTAACCAGTGCTCATAGAACACTCATTAGCATGATTCATAAAAATTATTCATGAAGAGACTGTCCATAATATTTTCACATGTGCAACTCATGTAGGTGTTGTGCACTCTCTCCTATTCAGAGGTGGAAATTTTCTTCCTATTGACCATACTTTTGTGCTTGGAAATGAAAATTAAAATATTTCATTTTTGTTTTTCACTGCTATCATGATCGAAAAATCACCAAGAAGTGATTCTAATCGAAGAACGAAATTGCTATGCTGTTCACAAGGGGAAACGAAGATCTAGAACATGGGTAAGCATGGTGTGTCTTGGATTGAAGGGTATTGGATAAGGGCATAAGGCTCATATATAGTATTGAAAATGAAATGACAAAAATACAAAGAGATTCCTTCCAAATGGAATTCTGAAATGGATATTCTTTCTAAGTGAGGGAGCACATTCCTTTTCTTGATACCCTATGCTTTAGCATCTCTTGTTTCTCTTGTAGGTTAAAGTGGGTGTAATAAATTAATACTAAATATGATATTATATATTTTTTATTTTTGTCTTTTCATATACACATATTCTTAAAATATATTTCTAAAATTAAAAAAAAAAATACCTAAGAGTATTTTGTTTGTTTGTTTGTATATATATATATATATAAATGTCATCTTTCCTAACCATAAAATGATGACCAGAAATAACGAGAAAACAATATAATTAGGTTAAGTTTTTATATTTAATATATTTTTATTTTAGGCTTTATCTGAAAAGCAAATTTTGATAATTGGAACCGTCTGTCCAAAATATAATAGTGTTAGAATTTTTATATAAAAACCAAAATAAAATAATATGTTGGGTATAGAGACTGAAACGTCAATTTTTTTCCATCTTAGTACCAAAATAAAGTATACAGTTTTCATATAGAAATTAAAATGAAAAAAGTCATCACGTAAGTATAAAGAAACCAAATCTAACATCTTTATAACATCAAAATTTAAGACTTCTATGTTAAAGACTAAAACTGGTTGTACACAATTTTGGTCACTCAAGTTTTTTTTTAACCAATTAAATCTCTTTTCTAAAAAAAATTAAGCAAATTCGATTCTACCGTTAATTTTTTTTTACTTAAAATGCTCAAAATGTTTTTTTTTTTTTCTAATTTAGGAATTGTGATGAATTGGAGATATGAAATAATAAACTTTTATAAGTAAAAAAAATATTGGGAATTAATAAATTTTGAAAATAATTATAAGATGTGGGATTAGAATTTTAAGAGAGAGAAGATTTTAGATTATTTATATTTTGACTGGTGAATTTTAATTAAGAAAGTTTAAAACAATTAATTAGTACAGTTTTGTTTTTCCATTACGCAACTACAACGGAATTGAAAATTTAAAATCAATGGTAATTTATATGTGAACACAAACTTCAAAGTGCCTTGGACGGCGTTGATCTTTCTTCAATTAAGTACAAAATGAGATTTTAAAAACTTTAAGCACAAGAAAATTGACAGGAAGAAATAATATGCTAAATTTTAAAAATAAAATAATCTAATTAATTAAAATAAAATGAAAAACTAAATTTGTATAAAATTTAAACTAAAAATATAATGATGAGGATATCTAGGCCCAAGGCAAAGTTTAAGCTTAGGCCCATAGAAGAACTCACGTATCCAGAAAAGGTCCAAGATCTACTTGTAGACATAAGTAGGTCAATGACAAGGTCAAAAGCTAAGAGAGACCAAAAAGCATTAGCACATGAAATATATCTTATGTTGGACCTTTTCTTATTTGAAGCTCATCACTTATCTTATTCTTACTGATTTTGAAAGATATAAGTCCAATGACTCAATTTAAAGTTTTATTTATTTTTTATTTTTAGTCTCGATATATATATATATATATATATAAAGTGTTTGTTGTAACATCCAAAATTTTAAATGTCTGTTTTATGCTATTAATTGATTTTCTTGATTAATTTACATGAATAAGGTTAATAAGACACTAATTGAATATTTATTAGAATTTAAATCTATGTTAATTAGGTAGACTAGAATTAAAAATTTATAGTAGAATTTCCTTTTAGGAGAGAGACAGGTATAGTTTCAGTAATTTAAATTACAGAATAAAATAATATTATTTGTCCTAGATCTAACAGTGGAGAAGCCATTCACGACACCTTAATCCAATGGTTTATAATCCACCTTATGGCTCATTTGAGACCACAAAATTTATGAACCAATCAAAATTTGCTAAGTAACTCCATTCATCATGGCCACTTGGATATTTTTCTTTCTCTCATCTCTTTATAAAATTGATCACTTCTCTCCCTCATTCTCTTCTCCATCTTTCTCCTTTTCTTACCTCCATAAGCTTTTCTATCAAGCTCACCTACACTTGCAACTTAGAAACATCTTTGGAATCAAATTTGTGCTCAAAGGAGGTAGGGTCCTATCTATGTTGATATGCTTATATGGATTTGTGTACCTATCTATTTCATGTTTTAAATATTTTAATACATGATATATGTGGTGTTTTTTTTGTGATGTGTAATTGGATTAATGGTGGTTTGGGTTAATTTGAAGGTAGATCAAGTAAAAAAACAAAGAAGAGAAAGAAAACAGCAAGTCTGAAAACAGAATTTTCTAAGATTTCGGTACAAATATACTATGTCGACCAATTATTTAAGATTTAAATATTATTAAAATATTTTAAACTTAAACTAGACATCCAGAGCTTTCTATACATATAAATTATTAAGCAATTGGATTAGTATAGAATTAGTTATGAAT